ACATCCCACTGAAACCCACGGGAATTGCCTAGATGCTGGCTGGCTTGAATCGGGGAATCACAGTCCAGCCACATGGCTGTGCAGGACCCAGGCTATAACAACTGTTATGATTTTTCGCATTCACTCTTGAGGGACTGTACTGTACAGTTAGGGGAAAAGCAAAATCTGCAGTAGAGCCATGTGCCTGAGAGGGGGCCATGTCTCTCCCCTGGGTACCATGCTGCATTCAACACCCCTTACCACTTGGCACCAGCTAGGAAACCAGAGTGCCATCCATCAGAAACAGAGCTGGGATGAGTCTGTGGCTGTGCACACCATGGGGAGCTTCTCCCAACCTCCACCACCCCTCATAGCTCCTTATCCCCCATCCTCATCACACCGTGTTGCTCTGCAGCCCTGCCAGCACCACAACCGTGCTTGGCCCTCCTGGCTTGCCCTGCCAGGCACCTGCAGGGAGCAGACGGGACCTCATCGTCTGCCACATTCCCCAAATTATCAACGAACACGAGCAGCCAGGTACGGTTTTGATGCACCAGCTCTGGCTCGGGGCCCAAGAAGCTGTCTATTCACAGCTGTGAGGGGAGGCAGGTTTAGAAGAGGCAAACTTTTTCCTCCAGGAAAAGCTAGCGTGAACCTAGAGGTCACCAAAAGCCCCTTTTTATCACTGTGAGTAACTGAGAGGGAAGGCCAGACCTGGGACACACGGACAGACCTGACATGAGTGATCTGGGGCAGAGACAGAAGCGCTGAGCCCTTGGCTGTGTATTAGCCCCACAAGAAGGGATAATGCCAGCTGTCTCAGAGGGATAGACGTGTCTCCTCGATCCCCTCGGAATGGCCATGGCAGGTCAGGCACTGGCCTGGCCAAGGTCCTTCTGCCCTTCATGCCGGTCAGCACGGACACAAGGTTAAGCACAGAGAGGGATTAGTGAGCAGAAGGTGGGAGAGGTGTGTGCCACAGAGGAAAAGAAAGAGAAGCAGGAGGATGAGAGGAGCGTGGACACATCCAGCTGAGCTGGGCTTTGCACAGATGACCAAGGGGGGAGCCAGAGCAGTCAGTACAGAGCTGGGAGAGCAGGAATAGGGTTGGAGATCCAGACCTTGCCAAGGTAACAGTGGGATCTGCAGCCATGTATTTAGTATTTTTCCTGGTAACTTCTGTATATCTGAGGACAGAGGAAGAACTTCACTGTCTCCTTGCTGGGTAGTGGGTATCTTTGAAGCAGCAGCTCAGAGGTACATCTGCTGTCCACTGGCTAGAAGTGTGCAGAGGGCGAGGAGGTCAGTCAGCATCACCTGAATTTTAGCTGTGATCACAGGAAACTGCCAGGTCCCCAGACACCCTGCTCAGCTGAAATCAAACAGGTCTTCAAATACATGCAAGTGCTATGGAAGACTGCCCGTCAGGGCTTGCAGGCTGGTGCAGAGGGCATGCACACGAGCAGAAAATAAGAAGCAACATTTTTCTAAGATATTTGTGTGATTTGCAACCCTTTATCAGGCTCCTTAACCCACTGTTTAAAAAGTACTTAGGTGCCTCGGAGTGTTGGAGGATTCGTTGTTAGATTTTCAGGTGTAGAGTGGTGGAACACAACACAGAACAGGGTTATGTGTCCTCTGGAGTCACCCAAGATCTGAAAGGTGGGGAAACAGGCAGTACAGCGCCTGCTCTGATTTTGAAGTAGTGCATTGAGAAAGTTTGCTGAGAACACAACAACTTTCTTTTCTGTAAGAAATGGGCCCTTGTCAAACAGCTGCCTGCACTTAGAAAGTAACCCAAAACCAACAGAAATGAACAAAACTGGGCTGTGTGTTCTTGACTCCAGGCCAAAATAATTCTCAGTAATTCCCAAGACAAAACTGTTTCCTCTGTCCCTAAAAGCCAAAGAAGTACATTTCATGCATAATTAAAGTGAGATTTTAGTATACATCAGAGCCTAGGGTTGTGTGAGGCACAAATAGGGCTTTCCAAACAAGACTTTTGATTACCAGTCATTTTAAGTGCAGGAAATAATGGCACTTCTGAGTTCTCCAAGCCCTCAGAGAGGAATTTCTGCCACGACTGATGGTTCCTGGTATATTAGGGCTCTAGTCAGTACAGTAGCTTCCCCCAGACAGAGTGAAACACCAGGAAAGACTGGAGTCACTGTCAGACCCTGAGCCTGGGGGATGGAGACCCACACCATGCTCTGCCATTGCAAACAAACACACACTGTGTTTTTGTGGCTCTAATACCCAGTGAGTTTTCAGTCCTTTAATCCCCATTTCTATGCTTCTTTGAGAGCAGCCACTAACGGGTAAGGGACGAGGATAACAGTTCCCATTTGCACCCCACTAACACTGCTGCTAAACTTCTCTTCCTTGGGTCAGACATGACACGGCTTTTCCTGGAAGACTTTACAAGAGTGAACTCTGCTTTTGCTGAGGTCAATAATAACTATCAGTAGCTCAGTGGTGAGAGGCAAAAAACTAGCTCTGTTGTGCTAGGCACAAACCTCATCCCAATGTCTTGTGACAGCCCTGGTATGATGCATCCAGGGCTCAGGGATGTGTCTGGTCCAGTGTGGCTGGTACCCTGAGGGGTAGCCTGCAGATTTCCCATATCCCTGTTCCCATCCACACTGAGTTGTAAGGAAAATACTTTGTCAATGGAAGTGTCTTCTAGGACTCCTGCATTTATGGTCTCTCCTGCAGAGTAGAGTATACCATAGTGTTCCCTGGCTTTGATTTCTTTAGAGAATGGAGGGAGGCCTTCTTTTAATCAAAAAAAGACTGATTTTTCACCTTTTCCTCCAAAACCTTAGAGCCAAAAGAACTCAAAGACAAGAGAACTGGCAGTGGTGAGAACTGAGGGTCCTGGCAAGGAGAGGAGGAAGGTGTCAGACAGATGCTACTACATCGTGTCCTTGTCTTTGGGGTTTGGGTTCATTTGAGCCCTTGATCCCACTTACCCAAGCAATGTTTTTCATTATTAGCCAAGTAAGTTATCCAACCTTTTCTACAAGGTTAAGAGACAGTGATTAGTGCTGTCTGTCCAAGCAGATACCATCTGGCAGCGGCAGCCTGGCATGGCAGCATGCACATGTGCATGCTCCCCTGGACCAGAGGGCAATGGCCCATGTCAACACTGCCCGGGGCCAGCTGAGCCCCCCTGCTCCATGTGGCTCGCCCCCTTCCCCAGCAGCCCAATGCCTGCCACCAGCTTTTCACCGTATCACAGGTAAACCTCCCTCTATCTGGGCTCATCCCAATCCTTATTAAAGGTTTGTTTCAGATAAGAGCATTGAGAAACATGATCTCCTTTCCCCTTTCTTGCTCCCTCTCAATGACACCATCCCCTCCCCAGCAAGAACGAGCTGCTTGTAAATCCATATCCACAGCCAGCACTGGGCTCTGCCTCCCCAAACCCAGGCGCAGTGCTGACCACACGCTACCTCTCCATACTCCCTACTTAATCCTCTCTGCCCTCCAGCTAGGGCACAGACTACTTGCCCCACCTCCAGACCTCCATCACCCCCAGCACCCTCAGCATACTGGGGTGCAGTGAAGCTCAGGGGACACCTCCTGGAGCCAGATGTGGGGGGGCTTTCACCAGGGCAATGTGGAATGGGAAAAGGGGAGCTGCTCCATAAATACATGATTTTCTTCCAGGCCAGATGAAGCTGGGTGTCTCTGATTTCAAGCAGGGCTGGACGCTGAGCAGGCACCATGGGAGCCAGCCCGGGGAGAGGAGAGGCAGGGGAACTGAGAGTGCTTGCCTACTGCTGTAGGGTGAAGGCTGTAAGAGCTATGGGTCCTGTCAGAGTTGCTCACTGCAGAGGTGAAGCTGGCTGCTGTTTCTTAGCCCACGGGTGTCCAATGATCAATAGAAACAGGTCAGAAGAATTTAAGGCAAATGATGGTGTTTTAAGAGACAGATGTGCAGAAGTGAGATGTACAGTGAGATCGAGCTGTGGCCCCTTCACCTCCCTCAGTCTCTTCTGGTTAAGGACCGAAGCCATGTGATTTTAGGTGGATCTCCACTTGATGTATATCCGTATTATTAATGCTCCCATCTCTCCCTAATTCCCATCTCAACTCAGTGAGGCTGCAAAGAGCCAGGGTGTGTTAGGCCTAGTCAGCCCTGTATTAATTATTTATTTGTGGAAGGAGATGTTGACATACATGATGCGTAGCATAAAAGTTGTCCTTGGGGCAGGGGAAGGGTGGAAGAAGAAAAAAAGCAGTTTCCTTCTGTATGGAGCCATTTAGCATCCTGAATTTCAAAGACCTTTCAAAACTTCCATAAGCCGGTAGCAAAAAAGTAGGTCGCAATTAAGCTCTTGGTTTCGAAAGGAATCTGCTCGGGATGATACATGATGTGTGTAATTATACCGGGGATTGACTGAGCTGCAGAGCTATTCATCAGGAAAGACACTGAAGGTGCTATATTTTGCCTTTGCAAAGGCTGTATCTGCAGCTCGCACCCAGCACCCCATGGTGGGAGCTAGGGCACCTTCCCTCACCCTTTCTCCAGTGGCACTTCCAGATCCTGCTGGTAGGAGCCACAAGAGTGTGCAGGGAGTTCAGACTGTCTGATCTGCTCAGTCCTTGTTGTTTGGAAACGTCTCCTCCCTGCAAAAACTGAAGGCTAATAGGAAATGGTTAGAGCAAGCGGTAATAAGGGTTTGTGTGAAACGGGTTGCAAAGAAATCAGATGGAGACTTCCCCTTCATCTCACAGAAAAAGCCCATGCCGTTTTCTTGGAGACAAAAATTCCTGTAGATCATCACCACTTTGGGGGATCACCTAATCCATGTCCCAGAAGCAGAATCTGCTGGTGGACCCAGCTAAGGAGGGCATTCCTCTGTAGGAAGCTCAGCAGGCAAAGACAATAGGAAATCAGTATCTTGATGGCCATAAGACCTGGACTTGAGCTGCAGTCCTCTCTCAGGATGCTAGTAAAGCTTTGGTCATCTGCAACTTATGTCTCAAGGGGTGTTTTTTCTCCTGTTTGTCAGGAGAATGGAACATCTTTGGAAGAGCAGCACTGTATCAGGCTGTGCTTCCGGGAGTCGAGAGCGAGCTGTCACTCCCCTAATAAACAGCAGAACAAATCTCGATTTCCCACCAGCTTGCCCAAAAGCACAGCAGGTGAGAAGCACAAACACAGTGTCCTGAAATGCTCCGTCATGCTCTACTCTGTAAAGGAGGGATTTACACATGGGAGAGGTTTTGGGCTCCTGAACAGTGGAAACACTGCGTTTTGGCAGGGCATGGCTCTGGGCTCACCAGCCCAGCGTAAGACAGCTGGAGACATCTCTATGGGACTTGTCTTGGTTTGAAAGACAGGTGTCTGATG